CTGTTATTTCCTGTTCTTCTCTTTTCTGTTTCTCTTTTGGCACGTGATGTCCCTTCTGTTCTTTCCTTCTCTTCTCTGGTCTTCTTTCTTCTTTCTTGTCTTTCTTTTCTTTCTTGCTTAACTTACACTCACTGACTTACAACCTCAATCTCACCCGCCCAACTTACACACACACTTACTCTCGCTCACTTCAAAAACACATACGTACTCTCACTCACGCTCACTAGCTTTCGACCACTCTCACTCTCACTCACTCAACTTACACACTTTTCGCAGGGCTTTGCGCAGGCGATGCTGCTCAAGGCGCAGTACTTCGGAAAGGTTTGCGCGGACAGGGCGGCGCGGGATGGCGGGATGCGGCTGTGGCCGTGGCAGGCGCAGGACGTTGCGCATGTTGATGTTGTTTTGCGTGGCACGACAGCATAAAACATATTTAGTCGCGCTCACTCGACTTATCCTCGCTAACTTATGCACACTTACTGATGTTCAACCATTCTCACTCCACTTTCAACATGCTACTTACTCTCACTCACTCAATTTACATTCACTTTGCAAAACGCCGGGCATGTGGGGCTATTCCTAGTTCCGAGCCGAACGGGTCCCTGCAGCGACTCTACATGCGGTGCGGGCCTGTCACAAATCTGCAGGACTTCACCCGCAGACTGCGCAGCAGCCAGTTCCCTGGCTAGATCAGCGAGACAGCTCACATGCGGGGGGCGAGGGCTTCTCTGATGTTTCGCCGTGGTAGGGGCTCCTAAAAAGTACTCCTTCCCTGCACAGCGCATTTCAGCTGCCCGCCTATTGAGCTGCCATGGGTTGGCGGCGGCTCTGCGCAGTCGGGACGCCTGGCACGTGAAAGCGCCAACCCCAGGCCCAGCCCACATTAACATGTTGTAGCTGTATGGCCAAGATTCTAGCGAGGTTCTTTCCCCTTACGCAGCCATGCCCCCAGATTACAAAAAAACTTGCCGAAATCTGTGCCAAACACGGTTGGAGACTAATCTCCCTGAGCATCTTTTAACGAGAGCGACATCTGTACACCAATGGGGTCGGACGACTGAACAAAGAACTGCCTGTCATTGGGCAAGTACAGCCAGAACCGGCACGCCTGCCACAACGGCAAACTGTGCAAGTTGGTTTTGCTCTGATTCCGCGCAACTGCGAAAGCCACCGTAGACGTGTTCGGATAAAGTGTGTCAATGGCCCACGCGCAGCTTGGTTTGCTAACTAGGCGAAAGCAACCCGGCACTTCAAGACCTCGACACGTCAAAGACAAGAACCCTAGCTCCAGAAACGACAAGCACAAATAGGACCAACAGGATTTGAAGCTGCAATCTCCCATGGTTTCGAGAAACATGAGCGCGCTACCATTGCGCCATGGCCCCCTTGAGCTGAGGCCAAAAAAGTACTTCATACCCCACTGCTGATGGCAAAACGCAACGTCCTCGTCGCACCAGCACGCTCGAATCTTGCTGCAGCCTTCCCCTGGCACACAGACCGCAAGTGAGGGACGTGAAAACCCTGAAAGATTTCCATAGAGTAGATGAACATAGATGAACATTGGATCCGCATCAGTTTGGTCATTCCACGCCTTTGCTGAGGTGCTGTTTGCCAGCTGGGATGTTGCCATGGGCCATTCAGCAGCATGGCAAGGGCTATGCTACGGCTAAATACGGCAAATTGTCAGGCCAGTGTCTTCCATCAGCTGGTGTCAGCAAGATGAGCTCTGCGTTGACAAATGGAATGTTCGTTGGGTCTCGCGCGTGGCTCAAACTAGCCGTGATGTGCTGAGTTCAATGCAAGTTGTCTTGATCTGATGGCTGCTGCTCCATTTGAACCATACAAACGGCGTATCTCACACTTCCTTCATTTGTGCTAAAACCAATTGTCCAACCTCACATGGTCCTCAGGCGGAAGTTCACATATCCAACCCGAGCCTTCCGGCCAGGCCTTCTTGCAATGCGCAAGTACCTTTCCAATAGCTGCGCTGCCCTTGCGGCCAATGGCCATCTGAAAGGTCACAACCAGCTAAACTCATTGAGCAGGGCTTGCGGGCTTGCTGCACGCCCCACCAAGTCTAGTTAGGAGAAAAAGCCTGTCTTCCACATTCTTCTCGGCGCAAGGCAGACGGCAACAGGCTGCAAGCCCCGAACTCTCAAGCTATGCCCTGCGCATGGCGCAAAGGCGTACGCCCTAGAGGCGTCGGCAGCTCGGGTGCCGAAAAACGATGCCAGAACCAGAGATAGCGCAATGCAGCGAGCCATGGGCGTGCCAATGGCTCCCGGTTCCTTCTTGAAACCTACGTGCGTGGCCTCACTCTTGGCTTGCTACCTTGGCTGATGCGCTAGCAGCATTCACGCATGCGCGAACGCACGCACTAACGAACCAACCAACCAATGAACCAACCAACGACCCGGCCCGGCCCGACCAACCCAACCAACCAAAACGAAGAAAAGAACGAGCGAGGGAGCGAGAGCAAGCAAGCAAGCAAGCAGGCAGGCAAGCAAACCAACAAACAAGCAAACAACACATACATACAAGAAAAGACAAGGCAAAACAAGACAAACCAAAAACCATTAATAAGCTTTCTCAGCCCATTACTTCATGCAAACCCCACCATGTATCATCCACCCAATCACCCACTCACCCACCCACCCACGCATTTCTGCAGCAAGCTTGCCGCGGCTGCCGCATGACGGTCTGGATGCCTGGCAACCACGACAAACCGCGGTGAACCGCGCTTTTTGTGGCTCGCTGCCATGGTAGAAACTCTTTTTTGCTAAGCTGCCACAAAGGGTGGAATTCCTGTACAAATAATGGACTTGGTGCCAGGCGACCGGCTGCTCATTCCCACCCGAGCTATTCTTGTCCATAGAGAGAAGGTAGATGGGGGAAGGGTTCCTGGAATGTCCCCATGCTCCACTTGGGCGCCCTGCTGGGGACAGTTGCCACCAGGGGCGTCACTTGGCGAGCTCCTACGCAGCGCACATCGCACATGCGGCATGTATGCCCAAGGATGGCTTCAAAGAGCTGGAGTACCTTTCACTTGTTTTAGACGGTGAGGCCAAGGTTTCACCGCGCAATGTCCTCCAGAGAAATTCAACGCGAAAGAGAGCGAGTCAAATGCCAACTCGAATTTGAATTGTCCCTCAGCCGTCGGGGAAGTGCCTGCTGATTTGAAAAAAAGGATGTAAGGATGCAGGATAAGTCATGCTGTGTTTTGCAACGAACCGCCATACAAGTTTCATGTTTCATACTTGGAGCAGGTTTCTTCAGGGTTCTCCAGCGATACAGCAAGAAATGATTGATGATATCGTGTTTCATGCCTACGAAGAACTACTGGGCCAATCCCATTCATAAGCGAATAGACCAGCCCCAGCTCTGTGGTCAGCTAGTCGCCCGGTGTCGCTGCCTCAATGCAACAGCATGCCACGGGTCATCCAATACCCTGCCCACAAGTTTGCTCCCCTCCTGCTGCTGGGAAGCGTTGTGCCTCCTGATACCCGAAGCCATGCAAGCACAACCCCTCAGTCTTTCGCAAACTGCCAAGTGCTTCTCAAAAGCCGCCCCCGAAACTTGAGCATGCTGTCAGGGCCCCCTTCTCATTGCATGACCTGTTGCTGCTACAGGTCCGCGCTCGCGCCCTGCGAACCGAACCAAACAACCGGTCCTGCAGCGGCCGGCTTCGCGGCGGGCTGGCGGTGTCCGAACTCGAGCTGGCGCGCCGAGGCCGCAGCTTTCGACGTCCGACTTCCGAAGTCCCGACGGGCGGTGCCCAAACGACACAGAGACCCAGCGGCCCATATCGAAGGAGAAACGCATGGGACGTCACCAGCTCAAGAGGCCTGGAGAAACAGCAACACAAAAGACAAGGGCAAGGGTTGACTTCCGGAAGCTGTCACGGGCGGCAATGTCCCATTTCGCCAAGCGCCTGTGTGGGCCAAACGGGAGCTTCACCCGGGCCATCCCCAAAACCAAAGCCAGAGACGGGTGATGTAGGGGGTTCAGGGCGGATCCCAAAGCCTACTCTCCCCTCCAGTTGGGCGCCCGCGCTTCCAGGACATATTGCTCAGCAAGCCCCAGTCCTGGAAAGGGAGCTTTCATTGCTTGCCTTGTTACTATCATCTTTTTTGCCTGGTTGGTGGAAAACAAAAAGACCCCAAAAAGCAAAAAGAAAAGAAAAGGGGGAGCTAATTCTGGGGAAGGTTCTAGTGAAGATTGCTCATCTTGATTATGCACAAATCTAGGACTCATTTGACATCATACGTTTTTGTTGATTCTATGTTATTGTCTTATTCATCTTATCGGTTTACTTTGATCAGTGTGTATTTTTGGACGTCTACGAATTGGGAACAAAGAAAAGCAAGGAATGAGAAATACAAAGCCATAACATCATGTGCTACGGTCATCTTCATTAGCATTAGATTCTACAGGCACGACATGATGATTCAAGTTGATCACTTTTGGGCGCAAAGCGTTGAAGCAAGCCATGTAAGCAGCCCAGCTCTTTTCCACCAATCCGCCCTCCCAGCTGTCCTCGGCTTGGCGGTCCCTGCCTGCACAGTAGCATCCCACTATCCTCAGTCCACAGATCTGAGCTCTGGTGCAGCTATCTGCGCTGGAGCCACCTAATTCCAGCAAGCCAACTGCAACCCAAATGCTCGCCACCTGAACACCATCTGAGATCTGAGGCCCTTGCCTGGAAATCATTCCATTCGTGGGCCTCAGAAGGCGATTCCTTGCGACCAGTTCACGCCCGTGACTTCAACAAAGGCTCGAAGGGCGCCAAAACCATCGAGCGCCTTTTTGCTTAGCTCGCAATCCTCTCCGCAAGCCCTTTGAGGGTGGAGACCTGCAAGTCGGGCTCTGAATCCTCGGCTGCCGCTCCACTCCATTGTCCCAAATCTGGGCATGGGTCAAAATTCAACCACCAGGAATTCGACCGCTGGTTTGTTTCGTCCTTCAGTCCATTTAGCAGGGTAAGCCATCTTGGGGTTGCCCTATGTTTGACCCACAGCCATTTGAGACCTGGCCTCGAGCCTCTGACATAGCCAAGGCGCTGCCCCGGCCTGTCGCGCTGCGAGCTCCTCTTTGGAGCTGACGCTGAAGCGGTTCTCCGTCTGGCCGGGGCGGTCCACATGCACCGTCCTCAAGGCCAACACGAAGCTCGCAAGCCGAGTGAATGTGAGCACTGTAGCTGCAGGGTTGCTGTTTGAAGGTTGCAGCAAGGCGAGTTATTGCAGGGGGCTGCTAGTGAGCGCGACAAACCTTTGCCGCCTTTGGCTACCACCTGTACACAACCGTTCATGTTTGAATGAGGGCACATGGGACGTCAACAACTCGGGTCACTTGAGCACGCCCAGTCCCATCCTCATGCCCACACGGGAAGCAGCTGCCACATCTGTGGCAAGGTCGTCGCCCACATGCCACCACCTTTGTCGCAGCGCAACCACAAGGAAACTAACCCCAGCCCATACCGTTGGTGGACATGTCGGAGACGAGGTGCTCTGTCTTGCCACTCCAGCCAAGTGCGCGAGCACGGGCAAGCGCCTCCTCGAAAATCACCGGAGAAGGCTTGCGGTGTGGGAAAATTGTATCCTGCAGCCATCAACCAGCAAATGCGCTACCCGAACAGGCTCATGTGCAGAAAACCGGACACTGTATTGCCTCGCTGCAAGCCAATTTGCGAGGCCGGTCCTCCTCTGCAGAGACACAGAAATGAAAAAAGTCGGCCAAAGGCGGGATATCGCTCGGATTGCCAGCACCGTTGGTGATAGCTCCAACCATGGCTCCAGATGAAGCCAGCCCCTCCTTACCAGAGGAAGCAAATGTTGCAAATGTGCCGCTGTCAGCCAATGACTTGTCGATTAGCGTGCTGGCTTCGCCTCGAATTTCCGCATGTCAACTCCCCCAGCTCCTCATTGCGTCAAAGACCAAGGGGGTTAGCGACCACTTCGGCTGTGGACCGCTGCAAAACACCCAACTTTGAAGTCTTAATTACGCAGGAAGCCCCCGGGGAAGGTATAATATGGCACCATTCCCTCTCATTTTGGTTTACTCATCCCCTACTTTTCCCTCTGGCAGAGCCCTTGCAGCCACGTTCTCCAAGCATGGCACCACGTCGGGGTAGAGGTGCAGAGCTCCAGCCCGGTTGCGAGCAGCCACCCACGCTTTGACAATCTCTTCCTGAGCTGGTGCCCGACTAGAACGATTCCAGCAGTTGGCTGTGGCTCAAAAAACCAGTACCAAAATGGAACCCTGCTAAGTGGAAACATGGACCAAAACCTGCGTAACCCCTCCTGTTTAATTTTGAGCCACCTCCTGAGCGACATTTCCTGCCTCACTAGAACCACAACACCAAAGACGTGGTTCTAACCCAACGCGGCCCTCAGTGTCAAAGTCATGTCCTGTGGCCATGGTTGAAATCCAACGTAGAGGCAGCAAAGCGCCTGGAAACATGCCCATGAGTTCGTTCGCTTGCGCTTTGGAAATCATGCACCCACGTGAGTCAAATGCCTACCCCCACTGCGCTGAGATGCTGGAATGCTTCGCGCCATTTCCAGCCCGCGGTCGCAGTATCCAATTTTCGCCGAGCTTCTGCGGTGGCCTCGTCGCCACCCAGCAACTCCGCGTAGGCCATGCAGCGAAGGCTCGTGTAGCTTGCGCTCTCGCCAACCGGTTCACGGCGCAGGCGCCGCATAGCGCCCATTACCTACAGGTGATTTGCTTCAGTCTATGGGTCAGGAAATTCCGGTAAGCTTCACTCCCACTAGCCTGGTCCGCTGGCAGGTCATACGCCCTTGCGATCTGCTGATTCGCCTCGAGCGCGGATCGCGCTTCTGTTTCGGGGGTTCCAAAGCCGTGCTTTGCGCGCGCTTGACCAACATCTCCCGCCTCTTCAACCACCTCGACAACAGGCCACAAGGTATCGTCCAAGTCGAAGGTCACTACAGCAGCCCGCGAGCTCCTGAATTTGCTGATGGGCAAAGCAGCATTCATCAAACAGTCGGTCCTGAGGCTGCGAAAGCTAGAATTCCCGCCACAAAATAGATGCACTGGCACCTACCACTGGCTGCTGTTGTCTTATGCTGACCCAGTCTGCAAGAAGGCCCAGGCTACAGCGTTGCTACATTCCCCTCCCCAGCCTGAATAAGGAGGCAAAGGCCCCAGCATACAAGCGCGGCACGCACGCAGGTGGCCATGCCGACGGAAATCGGCAGCGCACTCAAAGCTATGCAAAGCGCTGATTGCACCCTGCCTTCTGCTGTGTACTGTTTCAACTGGGGATTGCTCCAACATGCCGTGCTGTTTGTTTGCAATCAGCTTCCACATTCCCAACTATTTGGACTCATGTCGTCTGCAGCATGCAAGGCAAGTTGATCCAACCTGATGGACCCCCATGCACACGCATGCCACGTCACGTGGGCTGCCAGTGGGTGAACAAGCACAACCCGGACATGCTCCATTTCGCACCGCATTTTGCCCCCTTCGCTGCATCTGAATTCGATACATCCGGACGCCACAGCACAGAGCTGCGCGTTGGGTGCTCAGTACCCATGGCATCCCCGAGATCGCAATCACATGTGCTGCATCTGCTCAGGTGATGCGCCGCCTGGTCATCCGAGCTGAACCCAGCCAACCCCCGGCAAAGGCGGGCGCTGTCGAGCGAAGGCCGCGAGCACGATCGGCCCGGGGGCCCGGGCTCCGGGAGCCGAGGTCGATGCCGAGGTTGCCAGGGCCATCCTGGCCATCCCCGCCATCCCGGCCGATCCGGTCCAAGCGGTCGATGTGGTGGCGCTCGAGGCGATCCAGGTCGCGCACATCCCGGCTGGGGCTGGAGGCCTCAGGTGCAAACCAGTGGGCCCGGCCCTCCCGCCGGGGCGAGGCAGAGACGCCCCGGCGGGCGCCCTGGAAGTTGAAAAGGGGCTGCGAATGGAGGCGGCTTGGGGAATGCTGGCGGGAGAGCACGTCCTCCATACCCCCCACTTGGCTGCGCACCCTCTCATACCGCATCTCTGCATCAGAAATCTCCTTCCTCAGCCCTGAGATCCGATGGTTGACCTTCCCCCGCTCAGCCTCCAAAGTGTCTAGCCTCTTCTGCAGGTCCACCTGCTCCTCCTCCAGACGCTTGGACTTCACATGCGCTGCCTGGATTTGCTCCTCCGCCGCTTGAGCCATGGTACCCGCGCGCTCCTCCAGCTGCAGGCACCGCTGCTTGCACTGAATAGAAGTCAAGGCTTTCTGCCGAATCCAAAATTCCACATTCAGCGCGGCAGAGTCCATGATCTCAGAGGGTGCCAGCCCTGGCACGATGCCCTTTCTGGCTTGTGCCCGGCCCTCGCTAGACAGGTTCGCTTTGATGACCCTTGCGTCTCTGAAGCCGCACACCGGGCAGGAATTCCCATGGCCGAAGGCCTTCCTGGCGTGCTCGTCACACAGAACGTGCTGGCACGAGGTGATCCAGCAGACCGCATGGGTCGCGTTCTTGCACCCTGACTGGGCATCTTTGCACACCCAGTTGCACCTCAACATGTGGAAGTCCTGGATTTCCATCGGCTCCGCCATGCCGCGTCGGACCAGATCTAACGACAACACCGGACACACTCGCAAAGCCGAGAACTGCAAATTGGAGAAGTGCAATAAGCCAAACCCGACTGAAACCTGATGGGCACAGTTCAGGACATCAAGCCAGGCCCCGTTTGCCACTTGAATATGCAAGAAGTCCTTGCAAAAACCTCCCGTAGGCCGTAGGAAACCAAAAGCGTGCGCACATCACGAGCGTCCTTCCGTGTGGCTGGACGTTGGGCCCCGCGCCCACAGGCGCGATCCAGGTCGGGCATCATGGCGCTGACCCCCGGCTTGTTGGCCTGGTGCCTGGATCAGCTTACCCGCTTGGTTTGGAGCTCGGTGATTTGGTGTGTGGGCGGTTACCCATTTGCCCTCTAAGCCATAGATTCAGATCCCCAAGCTACCAGGCCAATCCAACTAAGGGTTACCCGACTGGAGAAGGGAAAAAAACAAAAAGCAAACTCCCGCAGGTAGGAAAGAAAGAAACCCCCGCAAAATCGGGGTTTCAAAACACGCCTTGGGAAAGGCCTGGCTCGCTGCCGAAGAAAGATCGCTGAAAGAATGCGAGGCCGTCAAAAGCTAAAGGGCGTTCCTCACACCATGCCCAAAAAGGCAAAGAAATACTGACGCCGAAGCCAGGCTTTTTCGACCCTTGAGGTTCACCGCTTCTACAACTGCCTCGCATACAAAACCATCGCAGGAAGTGCGCGGAGCGCGGGGGAAAACGACGCCTTCTGGGGCGGTCGTGAACATTTGTTCTTAGGCAAATTGGGGCTACGGCTGGCTGCTTTGACATCAAGGCCTCGCTGCAGAAATTCAGGGCCAAACACAGAAGGCGCCTAAAGGATGTAGCCAGCCATGGTGCTTCTTGGTGCTAGACCTTGTGCCTGCATCCTAAAATTCCGCCTGAGGGGCGGCCTGTTGGCTTCCCTCGCCTGCAACACGCAAGCAAAGGGTTAGAGACAGCACCGGCAGATTCCGCGGGCAGAGGCCCACCATTCAAAAAATTGGCCCGGGGTGCGCCCTTGCACACCGCGGCAACGCACAGCCGGAAATCGGAAGGCCGGATTCCGCCGCTTTGGCCGTGTCCATCCAAAAGGGGCGTTGGAAATCAGCCGCCAGCTGCCGCTTCCTCGGCCTCGTGCCTCCTCCGGACCCGCTCCAGTCTGCCTGGGCAGCGGAGCCCTCGCTCTGAACACCCAGCGTCGACTGGGACCCCGCGCCTCGGACGAATCGCCGCCTGCGTCATGGCCGGCCGACGGGAAGGGCCGGCCGTGGCTCCTGAGGCTCCTACGGCAGCCGCTTGCTGATCCAGCACACGAGGCGAGGCACCCCCGGGACGTACAATATCCTGGCCGCGCAGACAGGGCGGTGAGATAAGCTCTGCATTCTGCTTGGGTCTGATTCATGCTCCGTGAATGAGCATGGGGTTAAAGTTGGTTGCCCCCACAGCCCTGTCTCTTTGCAACTGGCACATTGGGATGTATACAGGATGTTCAAAGCTTCGAAACAGCATATTGACATTGCCAACAAATGGAAAAGATACAGGTTGCTGGTCACAATTGGGACACTATACTGAACAGAAATACACCATTCTTTACACTAGGCCTGCCCCTTGCCTTGCCCCAAGACTGCCCCGGTCCCTCTCCGGCCTTGGAATCAAAGGCAATCTCAAGAGCCAACCAAGATATCCAACGAGGACATCGGCATTCTTTGATGCCTCAGCCAGGCCCAGTCGCAAATGCCTGCCTTGCACCCTGGCAGCAAGGCGCAAGAGCGGTGGGCTCTTTCATGTCAAGAAGCCTCCGGAAAACGGGTGAAGCACTGGATGTAGGGCAACAAGTCATCCATGTAGGGCAGGACATATGGCAAATGCCTCAGGCAGCACCAAGGACCAAAACCCACCGTGCCACGCGTGACGCTCGACCCAGGCTGGGCATCCCTAAGTGGAGGGCGGGTGCGCCAGGGGAAGATGGGGCGCCAGCTCGTCGAGGTGCGGCACCAGGAAGTCGACATAGGGCAGCAGCTTGGGAAGGTAGGAATTCTCCTGGACACGAAGCACCTTGAGGTCACCTATCTCAAAAGCTCTGATTCCGGGTTGGCCATTTCTGGATCCAGCCCCAAGGCTCCAAGGTGCCCCAAGCGAGTCAGGTGCCATGTTCGTGGGAGGTGGGTGGGCCAGGCCCGATCACAGGGCCGTCCTCCACCTTTGCTGCACCTCAGCGCTCACGACTTTGCGCACTGAAACAAGGTCTGCACAATCAACCTCCGCTGACACTGTTACGGGCTCACCCAGATCAAACAGAAAAGCAAACGGGGCCCCAAGGTGAAACATAAGGAAAGACGCCTGCGACCGAAAGGCAACAGGTGAAACGGGAACGCGGCAAAACGCAGAGACAAATGCCGCAGCCAGCCTTCCCAGTCGTCAACCAGGTTGTCCACGACGCACGCCTCACCGCAACTGCATGCTTCCTCTGAATTCTGAAAATTATTGTCTAAACGGGCAAAAGAGCGGCCAAAAAAACGCAGTATGAGCAGCGGGTTTAACGGCCACATGCAGTATCATGCGGTATCATGGATGAGTTGCCTGGATTTGCTCCGCTTGTGTGCATGCTCAAAAAAGGGAACTCTGCTGACATGGCTGCCCAGGTTACAGGGGCGTATTCCCGCCTCCACCGACTCGATCTGCGGCTCATCAAAGCATCGCTCCAGGTCAGGGGTGGGACGAGCGCGGCCTGGCACACATCCATGCGAACATTCCCCCTCTGTTTCTGGTGGTAAAATGCCGGGCCTAGCTCAGCATATGGCAGAAGCAGGTCAAAGTGGTCAAGCAAGGGGCCACAGTGCTTGGCCAGCACATCCTGAGCAAGTGGCATTTAAGGCATTCGATGTCCGCGCCCAAAAAACCGAGTCTCCAAGTGAAGCAGGATGTACGGCAGGTGTGGCTCAATCCTGTCCATCCGCTCCATGATCCTGTCTAGGTGCGGCTCCACAACATCCAGGTACTGGTCCAGGATGCGCACAATGCCTCAAACAGATCCCACTCAATGCAATGACTTGCTGGTGCTCAGGGAATCAAGGAATGAACCTGGGATTCCCTTAAAGGAAACCATGGGGTCATTCCCTCATTCCCTGGGCACCAGCCAGATGGGCCTGATGAACGTGGCTGCCTGGGTAGCTGCGCTCTGCACGGCTCAACGTGTGCTTACACTCGCTGCGCACCAAAGCTCTGCCGTGTCATGCCACGGCACTTGGCACGTGCGGACCCAAGATGGAGAGGCGAGTGTAAATCGAGGGCAGGTGATTCACAATGGGCCGGGAGTGCCTTGGATGCATCACAGGTCTCAAGGTCAGGTGAGTGCTTCGAGGGCAATTAGCAGAATGTCACCCAGGGGCGGGAGGATCTTCTGCGTCAGCGCAGGCTGTAGCGCCTCAGGCATCCAACGCCAATCTGCCAATCAACGCAGCACTTGAGGAACCACCCCACTGTCATGAGGCAGGCAGACACACGTGCCATGAGCCGCAAAAAGTCATTAGCATCCGAGCAGCCAGCCGCCCTCCGATGGAGAAGCCTGCCCTGGTTTGATCGGCAAGGTAGGACCAAGGCTCATCGGCGTCCTAAGCAATGAGGGCAACCGTTTAAGCCTGGTGTTCCTACCCTGAAAGAAGAATTGGCCGCCTTTTCAACACCATGCACCACGTGGTTCCAATCGTAGCACGCCACCGTTTAGTAACTGATTTACGCCAAGCGGCTGCCACTCGCCCCAGTAGGACGCGAATCGATTCATTCGGCGCACTCTCCTAGCCACGCTTCTGTGCTGCACGGCCCTGAAGATAAAGGGGAAAACCACCCCAAGTATCTAGTTGTCAGACTCGTCACTTGTCCAACTCTGCTTGCCGGTTTCTGCAGACGAGGTTGGCGTTTAAAGGGTCCTTTGGTTCACCGGCATCCTGACACATTCTCGTCACTCTTCTCTTTCGGAGGGCACACAGGGTCGCTTATTACTCATTACCAAAGGTAGCCAAATGTTTGCCAACAATTGCCAACATGTCTTTTGCCCATCCTCTTCCCACGATTTCCTGGGATCATCTTCTCTACCCTCCCCGTGAGGAAGGCGCCGGCCTGAAGCGTCCGAAAGAGCCGGCGCGTGGCGTCGGTGGCGTCGCGGGCGGTGAGGCCTGAGAGCACCAGATCCACGCAGGGCCGGAAAGCTGAGAGCAAGCCGGCGTACCTGGGCCGATCTGCCAATCTCGGCGCTGACTCAACAATCATGGGGGCTGGGGGGGCAGGGAGGGGAGGGGCATGGGTCAACACTAAACCACCTGGGAACCGATGGTTTTTAGTCCCTGTTTCGACTTACCAAGGTTCCATTTTGGGTACCTGTTTTTGACCCACGGCCACCTGGGCCGATCTCGGCGCTCATGACTCAACAAGAGACGCAATGGTCTCAGACACAGACAGCACTTTCAGCACGGCCCCCACTCAATGCGGCCATGCTGCAGCTCAATCTCGGCCAGCTTGCCTTCATTGTCCCGTCCCTCTTCCTCAAGCACCTGGACAACCCCAAATAGCAAGCCGAATCATTGGCAATCATTGAGAGGGCACCACAGCAGCTCCCACCTTGTACAAACGTCCCGCGTAGAGAACGTCTATCAAGGACGCCGCGGCCATGTTCTTGTCTGCCTCAGGGCGCATGACATGTGCAGTGCAAGCAAACGCTTCAGTTGCCGTCCCATTGCTCTTCATGCCCGGAGGATGTCATGGAGGTCAGCTCTACGCCTTGTGGGACATCGGATGCCTAAACTCTCTCTGCTGCACACGCATCCAATCAACGAATGAGGATCCATGAACTAGCAAAAACTGGGTGGAACTGGCCAACAGCTCAGCATCTCCTCTTCAATGCTTAGCTGCTTTATGTTCGCAGAGTTGCTATCAACACATCTAGGGTCTTTCTCAATTGCTCGCCTCCCCGCACGCCCGTAATACCTTGTGCTTGCATGGTTGTGCCAATGCAGGCGTACATCACTCCATGTTGTGTTCAATAATGTCAACCAATGTATTTTTTATTTTATTTTTTATTATTATTATAATAAAAAATAATAGAAAAACAGTCTGGCCGTCATGAGAACAAACTGGCACGTAGCAGAAGCGAAACAAGTTGTGGATGCCCACGGCTTTTCCACGGATTTGACATCTGGAGCTGACAGCTGCACAGAGTTGCACTATACAGCAACCTGGCAGAAGCTGAGATAGCCCTGTACACTGCGAAAGCTGCAGCAAGTTGGCACTTGCAAGAGCTGCGGCTTGCGAAACGCGGAGGATTAAAGATTGAGGCCACTTATGGGCCCTGCGCACCAAAGTGCGCACCAAGGCGTGCATATGTTTCAACCGCGAGGGCTGGCTTTACAAATGCCCTGCGTCTTTCACTCAATTCGGGGCCACGAGCTCCACCTGGACCTCCAGGCTCCTGGTGGCGTCCAGCAACGCCGCCAGGCCCCACTCCCCGCCCAGCGGGCAGCAGGAGCTCTCGTTGAAGTCGTGGAGGAAAGGCCCGCGGGTCTCCGTCTTCGCCCCACTCACGGTGATGCGCGCCTGCACCCGGACGGCCTGCGAGGACTCGCACTTCAGAAAGATGCGTCCAACACCCTTGGCCTTCGCAAAGCCCTGCTGGTTCCGGCCGCAGGTCTCTTTGGCCAGAACCATGACACGGAAAGGCGCACTGGAGTCGGATGGAAGTTCCAGGTGGAAGACAGGGGACAACATCTGCTTCTCCGAGCTCTGCAGCTTGCGCCCGTCCAGGCGCCAGCACAGCTGGGCCGGTCTCTGAGGCTTCTCGGCAGACACCGGAAAGGGCACCATCCGCAAAGCGCGGGGTGCTGCTTCCAAGGCCGGCTCGAAAGGGTCGAATGTCAGGACTGGAGTCATAGTCGCCTCTTCAAAGTCTTCGCTCTCAACGGGACCCATGCAAAGCTCGTCGAGCTCCTCGAGGCCATCCCACGTCTCCGCACTGGGCACGCGGGCGACGGGGGTGTCCTCGAAGAAGTCATAGGTCTTCCAGTGCGTCACTGGGGTCTCTTCAGTCTCCAAGACAAATGCCGGCTGAGTGCGGATGACCTGGGCCTCCTGCTCAAACCGCGCCATGGCAGTGGCTGTGCGACGGGTACGAAGGCTTTAAAGTTGGGCCGAGCGCTTGAGCCAGCACATCCATTAACATCGGCATATCCATGCATCCATGCAGGTAGGTAGGTAGGTAGGCAGCTGGAAACGAAGCAAGCAAGCAAGCAAGCAAGCAAGCAAGCAAGCAAGCAAGCAAGCAAGCAAGCAAGGAGGGAAGGAAGGAAGGAGGGAGGGAAGGAAGGAGGGAAGGAAGGAAGGAAGGAAGGAAGGCAGGAAAGAAGGAAAGAAGGCATGTGCATATGCATAACGATGCGTCTACGCAAATGTATATGTATATGTATGTATATGGGTGTATGTGTGCTTATGTACGTGTGCTTATGTATGTGTGCTTATGTATGTGTTCATGTTATGTTTATGTTTATGCTTATGCGTATGTTTGTGTGTCGGTGTATGTGTGTGTGTGCATCTGTATGTGTGTGTGCGTGCATGTACATGCATGTCCACGTGCATGTGCATGTGACCCTGTGTATGTGTAAGTGAATGAGCATGTGAATTTGCATGTGCATGTGCATGCATGCATGTATGTATGTATGTATGTATGTAGGTACGTACGTATGTATGTATGCATGCATGCATGTGTGTATGCGTGTATGTAGGTAGGTACGTGCATATGTACGTAGTATGTGTAATATGTGCATTCATGCGTATAATCATACACGCATGAGCGTGTATGCGTTTGCATTTATGTATGTATGTACGTGCGTACGTATGTATGTAGGCATGCATGTATGCATGTATGCAAGCATGCATGCACGCATGTGTATGTATCACTGTATGGTGATGTATGTACGTACGTACGTATGCTGCATGCATGTATGTCTGTCTATCGGTCTGTCTATCTTTGTGTCTGTCTGTCTGTCTGTCCGACCGTTTGTCTGTCTGTCTGGCTGCATGTATGCATGTATACATGCACACATACATGCACACATACATGCATACATACATGCATACATACATGCATACATACATGCATACATGCATGCATGTATGCATATGTGTATGTACACGTACATATGTATGCGTGTATGCGTGTATGCTTGCGAGCGTGCATGCACGTATGCATGTGTATGCTTGAGTGCACGTGCTTGTGTAGGCGTGCTTGTGTACAAATGTATGTATGCATGCATGCATGTATGCATGTACGCATGCATGTATGTTTGCTTGTATGCATGTGCGTGCATCTATAAAACTTGGTTGCTATGTAATTGTGCATCTATGCGTCTATGAATCTATGTATCGATGTATGCGTGCATCTATGTATCCGCATATCTATGTATATATATATATATATATGTATGGTCACCCACCCACCCACCCCAGGGCCTACCTTTCCTCTCTTCTAGTTGAAGGTGTCAAGTCTACTCCGTGTGATATATATATATATATATATATGCGTGTGTGTGTATCTATGTATCTATGTATCTACGTATCTATGTGTATATATATATATATATATGTACCTATGTATCAATGTATGCTTGTTTGTCTGAGTGTGTCCGCATGTTTGCCTGTATGTCTGTCAGTCTGTGATATGCATGTATGCACGTGTGTAGATGCATGCATGCATGTTGCACGCATGTATGTCCTTCTGTCTGTCTGTCTCTGTCTGTCTGTCTGCCTGCCTGCCTGCCTGCGTGTGTGTGTGTGTATGTAGGTAGCTACGTACATGCGGCTGTATGTATGCGTGTGTGTGTGTATGTGTGCGTGCGTGCATGCGCGTGTGCAGGCCTGAATGTACGTATATGTATGTATCTGTGTGTGTGTGTGTATGTGTGTGTGTGCGTTTATGTAGGCGTGCTTGTGTATAGATGTATCTATATGTATACATATATATATATGTGTATATGTATGTGTGTGTGCATGTATGCACGTACGTACGCATGTATGCATGTATGCATGTATGCATGTATGTATGTGTGTGTGTGTGTGTATGTATGTATGTATGTATGTATGTATGTATGTATGTATGTATGTATGTATGTATGTATGTATGTATGTATGTATGTATGTATGTATATGTGTGCATGCATGTATGCATGCATGTATGTGTGTGTATATGTATGTATGCATGTATGTATGTATGTATGTATGTATGTATGTAGGTAGGTAGGTAGGTAGGTAGGTAGGTAGGTAGGTAGGTAGGTATGTATGTATGTATGTATGGTATGTATGTTATGTATGTTATGTATGTTATGTATGTTATGTATGTTATGTATGTTATGTATGTGATGTATGTGATGTAGGTTATGTAGGTTATGTATGTTATGTATGTTATGTATGCTATGTATGCTATGTATGTTATGTATGTTATGTATGTTATGTATGTTATGTATGTTATGTATGTTATGTAGGTATGTTATTATATGTTAAGTTCTGTTATGCTGTGTTATGTACTGTATGTATGTATGTATGCTTGCATGTATGTATGTATGTATGCTTGCATGCATGTATGTATGTATGTGTGTGTGTATGCATGCATGTGTGCATGTCTGCCTGTAAGTAATGCAGAGTGACATAATGCAATGTGGTGAAATGCACTGCAGCAACATAATGCAATGCAATGCAATCTGCAACGCAACGGCTATGTCTGTATGACTGTGCGCCTACATGTCTGTATGTCTGCATGTCGGTATGTCTGTATGTCTGTATGTCTGTATGCTTGTGTGGCTGTCTGTCTGCATGTCAGTAGTTCCGTATGTCTGTGTATGTCTGCCTGCGAGTATCACGTAATGTACTGTACTGATATGGTGTGCCATGGTATGCTATGTATGTGTGCCAATCTCGCTCCGGCATCCTGCAGGTCTATATTTTTATATACACTTTATACACATACATGTACACATACGAATACATAGGCTCATGTAGGCGCATGTTATTGTAGCGTCGGGCATAGTGACTGAAAGCACCACGTTCGCCTCTTTCTTTCCCCTGGCCTTGTGCATGGCCCCACCGACCAGCAACGACGGGCTGCGCCCCACCAGCTCCAAGGCCTTGACCGGCGAAGCAAAGGAAGGCCTGAGCCCTGGCACAGACTAGTTCGTTCGAAGAGCTCATATTATTTCGGACGGGGGGTATTTATGCATGGGGTTGCTGGGATTCGGATGTCGCGTTTGCTTCCCCATTGCTTCTCCGGCATACCCGTGCGACAGCACCTTGTCTCTGGAGCTGATGGCAGCGAGGCGGGCCAACACCTCTGAGACGGAATCAGACTCCACCTCGGTGCGTAGGATCCTTTGATCCGTTCATATGGCTGTGGCTCAAAAAACCGGTACCAAGATGGAACCCTGGTAAGTGGAAACATAGACCAAAAACCTGCGGTTTGCCCCTCCTGGTTAATTTTGAGCCACACCCATATCGAGCCAATCCGAATCCATCCCCACTGGGAACCATGGGGAAGGATTTTGCCCAAGTCTTCGAAGCTTTGTGGACAGATCCGAACAGAGCAAACCCGAACAGGCTTGTGGCTTGGCGAGTGCACTGGCTGGCGAACAAACAGAACTGTCCCAGAGAAGGACAGGGGTCAAACGCAGGACAGGGGTCTGATCCCAGAACTCTGACACTCTACATCGTCTCGTGCGGCAATCAAGGGCTGAAATCTGGCAAGCTGCCAGCAAGGGTGTCGCATCCATCTGAATAATCCGCAGCGCCTCACCAGGGCTTGCTGAGCTCGCTCTACCCGGCTCTCCCGTCCATCTTCGCACTGCAAACTGCCCAAGGACTCGCATCGCATGCGCCTCCTCCTCTGAAATCCCGAGTGTCTCCACCAGCCGGGGCCACCGCTCCTTCACCTTCTCGTAGCTGATGGGCATACCCAAAAAGTTCGCCTCGATCACCTCGCGTCGCGGCATCCGATGATCGGAGGGGATGCCGGCCTTGAAACCGGACCAACCAAAACCCGAAAACTGTTTCTACCAAAACCCCTGCCGCCCCCTGGCAAAAGGCAAAAAACTTCATGACCAAAACCCCTGGCGCCCATCCCCTGACACAAGGGAGAAGAGCATCCGCAGCTCGCGACCCGCGGCCGATCAAGATCTGTGCCGCTCAAGGCGCCGCTTCCGGGTGCTGTCGCAGCACGGCACGCCAGGCGAGCTGCAAATGCATGAGGTGCTCGTCCCTGGGATCTGTCGGAACCGTGGAAAAAATCAAGAAAACAATCTCTACCAGCAACCTGCAGGGATTGAAGGTGTTGCAACTGAATGATTGCGACTGCCCCAAGTATGTGCAATTCTTCGACTGAACAGCACAATGGCATCGATCTGATGAGAGGGTGAGGGCAGGTGGGGGATGCCTGTCTCTGATTGCCACGCGGTAACTCATCAGCTGGACGCATCTACAGATTTGAGGGCCAAGTTGCTCTTTCGCCGATGCTGCCAACTGTTCTTTGACCCTTCTTTGTGCAGCGGTCCTGCAAGCAAGCACCATCTCGAAGCCTTTTCTTAGATGGGCCTCACTTTGCGCACATGGTGGAAATGTCAGCCACTCATCTTTGTGGGATGTGGCCCTTTGCCCGCACCGTCTTCCTTGAAGACATATTTTGGAAATCATTGTGCTAACCCACGGCGTTTGGCGCGACCTGGGCCTCGCCAAAGCCCCAAACCACGCAGGTACGGCCAAATGATAGCATGCCCCAAAGAGCAACCTTTGGATCTTTTTGGCTCCGTCCTCGCGGCAAACGCTGCCATCGCTGCCACTGCAGAGGCTGTGAGCACCTGAGTCTCTGCTGAAACTAGATCCATGTTATCCGCCACTGGCGTCTTGCCTTGTATGCGATGCTTGTGTGGTCAATAAGTGCAACCTGTTCATCAAACATGTCGACACTCATGTAACAAGGCATCGCAATATTATCAGTCTGGTTGACATCAGTCTATTGATTGTACCTGAAGGACAGGACCAGTCATTTCTTACTTCTTGGAGTTATTTAGTTTGCTCTCCCAAAAGACCCACTCAGCTCAATGAGGTGGAGGGACTTGCTGAACTACGAGGGACCTACAACCCCCCCCCCCCGTTTAGCCCTTACCCATCACCCACCTGGTCAAAGAAGGTGATGTTCAGAAAGGGAAGGAAAAAGGACGCCCTGATAATCGGGGCATTGAACAACAACAACAACAACAACAACAACAACAACAACAACAACAACAACAACAACAACAACAACAACAACAACAGCAACAGCAGCAGCAGCAGCAGCAGCAGCAGCAGCAGCAGCAAGCAGCAGCAGCAGCAGCAGCAGCAGCAGCAGCAGCAGCAGCAAGCAGCAGCAGCAGCAAACCAACACCAACACCAACACCAACACCAACACCAACACCAACACCAACACACAACACCAACACCAACACCAACACCAACACCAACACCAACACCAACACCAACACCAACACCAACACCAACACCAAACACCAACACACCAACACCAACACCACCAACACCAACCAACACCACAACACCACCACACCACCAACACCACCAACACCACCAACACCACCAACACCACCACACCAAACACCAACACACAACACCACCAACACCACCAACACCACCAACACCACCAACACCACCAACACCACCAACACCACCAACACACACCAACACCACCAACACCACCACACCACCACCACCACCACCACCACCACCAACCACCACCACCACCAACAACAACAACAACAACAACAACAACACACAAGCAGCAGCAGCAGCAGCAGCAGCAGCAGCAGCAGCAGCAGCAGCAACAACAACAACAACAACAACAACAACAACAACAACAACAACAACAACAACAACAACAACAACAACAACAACAACAACACACCGGCAACTTGCAGGAGGCGCCGTCTCCGCCTCCAGGCCCGCCAACGTCACGGCGGCGGTCTCTGCAGTGGCAGCAAGGCCGCCTGAGACCTGCATTGAAAAATGTGTGGACCCTAACATCCCGTGCTCAGCACATGGTTGGCAGCACCGAGCGCCCAAAGGGCTTCCAGGAGAGCCATCTAAAGCACGTTGCCCTCAACGCCAGCTTCCAGCTTCCAAGTAGGCAAGCCATCCAAGCATCCATCAACTAGACCGACCGACATTGGTTTGTTTGAACAATAACGGATTCCCAAAGTGGCAACGGCTTCCTTTCGGCTTCCTGTCGAATCCAGGCATCAGGACTTCCCCCCAAAAAAAAAAGGCGCACCCTCAAAGATTGTGGACCCATGTTCACCACATGAATAGCACCATCACCACCTCCAAGTCCCAATTTGTCTTGCTTTTCTCGGTCTCCCGTGGTCCGCCCGAGGGTACCCGGACTCCGGCCGCCTCCGCCATGGAGGCGGCCATGGAGCCCACGCCCTCGGCGCCCACCCCCAGCTCCGCGCGCTCCATGAGCCGCAGCTCCGCGCGCTGCAGCGCGCCCGCCACCGCCTCCGTCATCTCCCACAGCTCCGCCTCGCGCGTCCGCGGCTTCGATCCGATCAGCGAGACGGAGCGCGGTTCGAAGGCGAGACCGCGGTTTTTCGGGGTCTGGTGGCACATATGGTTTCTGCGACCAAATTTCCAGGCAGTGGAGCAAAGGCCGGAAGTGACCCGGTTGACACTCAACTGCTGGGCCAAGTGTCTTAAACTCTGGCGACAGGAGGCCTTGCCGGTGCAGAAGCAGCACCCTCCTTCCGATGTGGGGTGACCACCCCCACTTCCGCCAAGGGACTGCACTGGCCCGTCGCGCCAACAAAGACTGGCGAGACGAGGTGCCGTACAGGTTGCTCCTTCCGATGGGCTGCATGACAAGTGTTTGGATGCGGTTTTGTGGATCCACCCCTGTGTTGAAAGAGTACTAAAAGAGTACAAAAAAACAACTACAAGGGAAGATTACATGAAATCCACAAAAAGGGCATTCGAACTCTTTCCAGAGCGACAGGCGTGGGGAGCTTCATTCAAAAAGCATAAGTCTTGCCATGCCATAGCACGATGCCAGCAGACATGGTGAGCCCTTGGCAAAGCCAGCTCCTGCGGCCAAGCCGACACATGGCCTCCGAAGCTGAACCGCGATCTCTAAAAACCTCAGCCCATGGCCCATGGTGGTTTCCAGGAAATTGATTGATTTTCTGTTTCTCTCTCTCTCTCTCTCTTATCCTGCATGTCTCAAAACTGGGAGCACTATTGGCCCAAATGATGGAGGGATTGGTTTATCCTCACAAATCTATCCGTCCACTCGCGAACAATCGACGCCAAGCTGATTCAACGCTTACGTTTCTACCAGGTCGGTGTTGGACCTTCACGGAGCCGGTGTCACAAAATGGCACCCACAGAGTCACATCTCAGTCGCCGCCACTCCTGCAGCTAAGGCGCTTGACCCAAAGCCTCCCGTTTGAGCGACCTGCAAAGTTCCAGTAAGGAGGTCTTGCGATACGCGTCGCCTACACCCAAGTTTGCCCAGGCACCTGCGGCGACCAGCGCACCACTCTGAGAAGCCAAGCCGCTGAGCTTCCCGTTTTGCCATCTGGAGCTGGCTTCTTGCATCCTGGAAGGCCAGGCTCACACACCCCGGGCATCCATTCCAGTTTTGACGCTAGGGAAGGGGGTGTCCAATTGGTCCCCGGAGCAAGGCTGCACTTGGAATTGCAAGACTTGGTAGCGCTCGGGACCGAGCTCTGCTGGATTCTAGTCCTGACACCTTTGCCTATTCAGAGGTGTCACCCTGCAAGCGCCTTGCGCAGCAAAAACCGGGCTGCAGCCAGGCTCAGCGCTGCGCATCTGGCAGGATCAAGCCAAAGGGCCAGAAGTAGCGTCTGTCGACCCTTTGGAGGTATGAATGATTGGATAGACTTGGTCAGGGGAGCCCCGCCGAAACCACTCGCTTTCCACCGGCTGAAAGCATTCTGGGCTGGCAAGTTTTGGTGAGAACTGTGACAGTCGGACGCGGCTTCCGCCTGAGACTCCCCGCTTGCCTAGGCTGCGACTGCTCATGCCAAGGTGAGGTGTCAGGCATCGTGGCTGGGGATGGCTGTGAGCTCGCCATGTTGGGAAAGGAGCGTGTTGCGCGGCATCTTTTTTGCGCGTGGCAGCCCCCCCCAAAAATACAAGAACAGATGTTGAGCGAAGTAAAATAATTTTCATAACAACTTAGCAAAATATAAAATATACGTTTATAATTCAAATTTTAAATAAGGTTAATACATTATTCTTTTTCATTAACCTTATCTAATTCCTTGAAAATAATTTTACTTCATTGAAATATTATATAAGGTTAAGAAGTTATTCTACATATTAACCTTATACAATTTTATGTAAAATATTTATTAATAAAAATAATGTTAATTTTCTTCTGCCTGTTTCATTTCTAAATTTCTTTTATGCTTATTTGTTTTCAGATGTTGCTTTTCTTTATACTAGTTTTACTAGTAAAACTTCCTTGAAAATATAATCAATATTCCTTGAAACTAAATCTAGAAATCCAAATCATAAATCTTACAATGTTTTTAATTGTAAGGTTTATGGGTTAAAATAATAGTCAGGCAATATGTCTTCAAATATGTAATCTACATATTTACCTATATCATCTTCATCTATATATTTGATATTGTCTTTTCCTATTATTGAATAAATATATTCCCAGAAAAACAAATTAACTAATAGACATACTTTATATTTAGTGTTGTAGTAATACCATATACTATATTCAGTTACTCTAAATTCGTTCAAGACTTCATTTATTTTATCTTTGTCTAATAAATGCCAGTCAATCCATTCAAACAAATAACGGTATTTTTTGACAAATGCTTTATATGGTTTAATTGCGTTTATTCCTCCAAACCTCCTAATTAAATCTATATTATTAAAGAATTCATCAATTTCATTTTCAAATGACTTTCTGGAAATCTTCTGGTAAAAGTGTATAGGAAATCTTGCTTGGTGTCGCATAAAGAATTTTAATTGTAATTGAAACTTTGTATATCCCTTATCCTTATGTTCTTCAACAAAAAACTTTTCAAGGTCTCTTGTTATACAGCATTGATTGCAATATACATTATATTCACTTATTTTATTACATAGATTGTCGGGTAATAACTTATACAATGTTATATTAACATCATTCTTTGTATTTTTACAGCATTCGCACTTGTTATAGTTAAACAACATTTCACTATATTATATTGAGTCATTATTTCCTTAAGTCATTTTTAGCGAAGTACATGAGATATTTTTTGTTTTTGTATTTCTATAAGTCGTTCATATCCTCTGACCACTCCGTCAAAACTAAACACATAATTTACAGAACTTTCACCTGCTAATTCACAAGTTTTTATTAATTCATTAAAATCTTTTTTCAACTGCGTCTCATCATGCTCTAATTCAAGGCATGATTTAAACCCTTCATAAAAGTCTTTCTTGTTAGTTTTAAAGTATTTAACATCTAGCAAAGCATATTTATCTCTTTCATCTTCATAGTGTTCTTTTACCTTTCTCATTTCTTGTATTAATTCTATTCGTTCTTTTATTTCTGAGTGTATCTTCATTACTACATTAAGTCATCATCTCTTTAATTCTCCAGTGATGACTATGTCATCATATTATTCTATTTTCAATAGAATAATGACCATATGCTAAACTATCACCTGTATTAGTCCAGTATCTTTTATTTTCATAACTATTCAAACTAATCTTTGTTGTTCTAATACTATAAATTTTATGGTTTTTACTTCTAATACTATTGAATGATTTATGTATAACTTCATTAGTTTGTAAAACCTTATCATATTCTTTATATGTCAGTTGCCTCCTCACTATGTGCTTTGCTGTGCCCTTGCATTTCTTATGTTCTTTTTCTTCTCCATAGATTTGAAAAGCGTAACACTTAGGACGAAGTCCAATAAACCCTGTAATAATTTTGCTACTGCATTCATCCTTAAATTTACCCAACGTCTTTTTATTAGTAGTATCATAGCATTTATGATAAATAGGATAATCTGAAAAATCCATTTCATCTTTAATATCATGAAGATCTTTATAAATGTCATCAGTCTTAGTATGAAATACAAAACTATCAGTGTCAGTATAAACCATTCTAATATTATCTCCGTATTTAGGTTTCATAACATCATAATAAAACTTATACATATGTTGCTTACTCAAATCTAAAATACTCATTCCAATGAATATAGGTTTATCTAATTTCAATTGTGCTTCTTGTTTCTCAACTCCTACTAAATTATCGCTGATAATGTGACTATGTTTAAATGATGGATTATTAACACATTTCATAAATCTTGTTTCATCACTCACTATTTCAAAATCTAAGTGTTTCCTTTTGTCTTCCATCGTTTTTCCGAACACGGCATTACTCATTAATTTGTAAACATCTTTCTCAAAATCATTGTTGGCATTCTTTCTTTTCTCAGTGTTAAATTCAATGTAAGGTTTTAATATCTCTTTCTGACTGAATTTTATTGCTCTGTGTATTTTCTTTAGTTTCATTCCGTGTTCTAAATAAAACTGTAAAGTTCTAATAGGGACTACATACTTTTGAATGTCTTTTAAATTCAATATTAATTTATGTTTTTTCATCTTTAGGTTTTTTCTTATTCAGTATTTCATAAATTTCAACTTGTTTATCTGATAACATATCTGCTTTAACATTCATAATTTCAGGTGCCATTGGATAGTCATTGTGTAAATCGTGCAGTTCTTTAGGGTATTCTAAATCAACTTCTAAGATGTATCCAGTATTACCATTAGCATAGTTTAAAATATCATCTTCTGTTATTTTAGTATCCCACTTTAAATTTTTGTATGGCAGTTTTTGTATCATTGCTAATCCATATAAGTTATTAGCATCAAAATAGTTAATATAACTACTTTCTTTGCTTTCATCAAAATCATCGCCCATATAAATATTATTTGCCTCTACTTTCTTACAGGCAGTCTGTGTCATCCCACCACGAAGTCCGGTCTCTATCATTTCATACATATCTTGGTCATAAACTAAATCTATTTCAACACCAGTTAATTTTAACATAGCATCAAAAGCAAAATTAGGCAGTGTGTAATAATATACTGGATCTAAACCGTAATCTTGAATACATACATCTCTAAAATTTTCAAAAATATCAGTTAATAATAAAACATCTGTTTTCAAATACAAATCGTGATATTCACCCATGTTTTTAATCTTAAAGTGTTTCCATATTACTTTTGCTTTTTCATAGTCTTCATCCGTTATATTATCCTCACTTAATCTACTGTAAAACATATCTTTAGTTGGTAAACTTTCATCTTCAAACTTTTCCATTGAATTCATATAGTCATACGGATAAACTCCTTTCTCTGTTAATAAGTCCAAACATTTTTCACTTTTAATAATATCATTATTTTTACTAAATCTGAAATTGTTCTGCCAGTTGTCTTTTATTATCCATTTTCTTTTATCTTTATCATCTGTGTTGTCATATTTTGTCAATGATACTAATTTATCTAAAGAAGCAGTTATAAAACTAAAACTGTCCTTAACACTTAAACAATCAAAACCGATATTAATAAACTTTTCACTGTTCTGTGCTATTACATCTATTTTCTTCTGATTACTTAACTTATCAGCATTTTGAATAGTTAAATGTCCATCATAATTTTTCATATTATGAAAAAACACTGGTATTTTAAAGTATTTATGACAAAAGTTTAAATTACAAATGCTATGAGCACAACCCCTATATTTACCTGTGAAATGGCAATGGTCGCGAACCTTCTTATATTTCTCTGCTTCCTTTTCATTCTTATAATCATATCTAAACGCGTCACCACAAATAAAACAATGAGTTGCATTTTTAAAGTCTTTCTTATTTTCATCACTCATATCAATTTCTTCATTTTCTTTCATTTTGTCTTTAATGTCTTCTCTTATCTCATTAATTTTACTACAAAAAACATTAACGGCATCACTTCCTCGATATAAATCTTCATAATTAGAACCATCAACTGAATTAACCATATTCAACATAAAACCACAGGGTTTATGTTCTTGATAATTGTAAGTTTTAATACTTTCATCTGTTGGTTTATCAACTTCCTCAGTTAAACATTCAAAGTCAGCATAAATAACAAATGGACACCTTAACTTTTTAAAGTGATGCTTGAATTTCATTTTTTCTTCTGGCTTAGGCATTTTTATTTGTTGACCTTCAACTTCCATACAACCCTTGTCATAGTGTTTCTTTAGGAGTTCGGGAGTTCCAAACCCATTTTGACAATATTTACAGAAAAACGAAGCACTACAAAATTTACTTTTCTGGCTGTTAATAAGTCTGCTCATATGCTTAATATAGGCATAATGACTAGCACCTCCCACATCAATTCTTAACAAATCAATATGACAAGAAGCATCCTTATTTTTCAGTGCTCTATGTTTAACTATTTGCTCTGTAACTTCATCAATTACAAAAACATTAATGGACACCTTAGGGTTTTGTTCTTCAAACTTATCAATATCATCATTATTCACAGGATAATTTATTCCATCAAAGTTCAAGTCGCTTTCCACTTTTTTATAATGATAAAAATATTCTGGATGCTTATTTTCATAGATTTTATGATAAGCACATTCAACACAATATTTAAAACACTTTTCATCTTTATTTTGAATATTAATACATGCTCTTTTGGACTTTACCCATTTTGGTAGTTCAATATATTGTCCTGCTCTTGTAGGGTTGTATTTGTTATACATAATGTGGATGCTTTCAACTTTAACTGTCATCAAT